AAGCCCAGGAGTAACACATCAAACTGTGTGCAAGTGGGTAACTTTGAGCTACATGAAAACCCAAATTTTCAACAATATACCTACAACAAATTGTTCTGTCACAGCAATTATACTTTATAAAACATAGAGTTACTCCCAAACTAGCAACTAACTTCAAATGAATTTAGCAACATTAGCAGCATCTTGTGCATGGCTGTTAATGACACACAATAAAAAGGGACTGTTATCACTTTAATTTGTAAGACAGACAGCAGATAAACGTAGTAAAATATTGTAACATTACTCGTTTAAATCTTGAAAAGAAAGTGCTTTTACAGCAGAAATGAATGTTTTATTTAATTTGTTTAGTTAATATTTACACTAAGATGGCCTGATTTTATTAAAGTACAGTGGACCTTTGTTTATTTGCAGATTTTTCTGAGAAACATAACACCTTATTTATAGAAAATATGCCTATTCATGAATCTTTCCGTAGCACACATCTAAAAAATATTCAAAAGAAAATACAGCTTGGGAAGCTGAAATGCCCAGGCATAATAATATTCTAGTTTCTGCTCTGGTCCTGAAGTGGAACCTATGGAAAGAAACAACTAGCACAGAAAAATGCTTTAGTTCCTGGAATACTTCCCTGTAGTGGAAAACACAACTGAACAGAAAGGTTTCATAGATATGTCAACAAAAAAAAATGGGAACAATTTGTGTCACTGGGACATATAACTGGCCACAAAGTTTCTAAATATTAAATAAAATATTGGTTCTTAATTCATCAGTTAAACAGCTCAAACAAAGAACTGGACTGAAACTGAGTGACAAAGCAGCCAAAATCCAAAGAAAGAAACTTCTTCAAGTTTTCTGAAACTTGAAGAACCACCGAGCAGAAGAACTCAGATGCAAAATGAGGAAATGAGCAATGACTCAAGACTGTTCCACAGAAATGTTATTGCATCAAATAAAGCCATGTAGGTTGGAACTTGTACAGGCAGTCAACTCTAAATATTACCCACGTAAAAGAAATACTGGCAACAATATGAGACCACGCAGACATGTAGTAACAGTCACACTCTAGCAGATACTGATTAATCAAAACACCACATCTGTATTATCACACCCACACCGACTTTATACACAGCGTGTCAGAACTGAACGTTATTACTGAGCTCAATATTTATCCCAGAAGTACACAGAGCTGATGTTTGAGTAAAGAACCCCTTCCATTGTGAAAACAAGAAGCTCAATCACTGTACAAAGTCCTAACTGCAGTACGTACAGTGGAAAACACATGTCACCGAAACACAAAGCAGACCAGCTCTGCAGGGTCGGGAGTGCACTATCAGCAGCAGCAGCTGCCGTTTCAGACCTGCCTCAATGATCACGTTGTTTTTGCATCTGGTCACCGCTCCCACTCGCGGCTTTCCAAAACAAACAGGGGCTTTGATACGGGACCCCTCCATCTCCCGTCTGGTCGCAGCCGAGGACGGCGTGCAAGCACATGCCCGTCCGCAAGAATGACAGCTTGCTGAAGATGAAAATACACGGAGAAAGTGAGAAACAGATCGACGCGGTGTGGGTGCAAAGTGTGAAAGAATGCAAGTGCTCTCCATGTGGATTTCACTCATAGAAATATATGTTAATCACTGTGTCATATTTTGAATCGCTGCGTTCATTAAGATCACAGGGAGCATATGCCGTTAGAGCATATGATGAGAGGAGAGCCAAAACAGAGAGCTGCAATTATTCATGAATAAGTAAAAGGGGATTCATTTTAACTCAGACCATGATGCACTCAAAGAGAATGTCCTAATGTCCTCAAGCAAAATCTTTGGGCTGAATTCAAAAAGATCTTTCCTCTTCCTCAAATAAATCAGCTGGCACCTACCGTATAAAATGCTCTGGTCAGGATAATTCGCACAAAGTCCTGAGAAACTTCTCATTGTGAAAATACATGTAGGTTAAAAGGACCCCAATAATTTGTCGCCATTCCTGATGTTCAAAGTTCTCTACAGAATCATTGCCATATTGTGTCGCTGGTGTTTTGTGCTGCAAATCATTTCAATTAGGAGATTGTGTAACTTCTTTTCTTCTACAATCAGCTCTAGGAGCTCCTTGTAAGATCTTTTATGTAAAGCAGAATGTGTTTCAACACTTTCACTTTTTAGATTGTAAATATAATTTTTTATGAGACCCTTCACATTGCATTCAACAAATGCAATGCAAGCTTGAGCCAAAAGTGAAGCTTCAGAGTCAGGTCACCCAGTTGAAACCACATTTCTAACCAATGCCCTGCCAAGTAGCTTCCTGTTAAAACTTCCTCCTCTTCACCACTGGTATCCAAACATTGTAAAGTTGAAAATACCACAAAATCCGACATCTTTTTCAAATAAAGTTTAAAGAAATGTTTGCAAAATTATTTTTTTTGGTTTTCTGTTTAACAAAGTAAACAGGTCATAGTTTAATTACATGAACCAATTAGTTTGTTTCTTTGTAGAAAAGATGTTATGAGTTTCTGTGGCATAAAAAGGGTTTGCTCTGCTGCAGGGTGAGTCAGACTCATCACCTTGTTGGTGTACAGTAAATGCAAAATGACGCTAAATCTGGTGTGGTAGGATTCCTGCTTTTTTTACTGTACTGTAAGCAAATCTATTACTAGAATGGTCAGTTTTTAATAGAGATATTAATCAACTTTAAAAGACTTCAGAAAGGATATTTATCTATTTGAGCTCTAACTGATCAAATAAGTACCTCTATTTGGCCAAACTAGATCAGACAGACACTAAGTGAGAGATTTTAAATTGACCTAAGTCAATGTGCTTGTCAGATAATAACCATAAATAGCAACCATAAAAATGCTGAAGTCCAAAGTACATTCAAATTCATTTACACACTAATTCTGAAAATTTGATATAGAAACCTATTTAAAGTAGTTGTGGTTCTGATCCCTATTTGGTCCAATGGACTCTCATGAAGCAGAACTCAAAAAAATCCCTCAACAAAAAAAATTAACCTACTTCGCAATTTCCTGCTGGCTAATATCATTTATTGGAGTCATATACTTAACCAGGTTTCCTTAGTAGTATCTTTAAATCATCTGTTCTCAAAGCAGGTCTGAAGCATACCCCAGGTGGGTGTAAACTGACTCATAGGGGGGATAAAGCGTCCCATGGCAAACGGCTGCTTTTTGCTATAAAACACACTCTGTTCTGCATTTCCTTTTACACAGCCTTAGAATTACATTTTCGATCCATCCATGTAGTTCTTTAACCAGTTCTGGCATAAACATTTTTTTTCACTGAATTCCTACCCCATTAAATCCAACAATCATCCTCTGTGTCACGTTTCAAGAAAAGATCACGATAAAAGCGGTTTCATCTTCAAAAGCAACCTTTAAAATAAAACAGGATTTTTATAGCTGCTTCAATCAAATAGGTTTCCTGAAGAAAAAAGATAGCAGCTTTTTCAAGTCAAATAGTTTAAGGGAGCAAATCCTTAAAAATGCTCAGTTAAGTGAGCCAATTACTAAACTAAGTACTTTCATAGTGAGAGTCGCTGGAGCAAAAGGTCAATTTAAAATCTCTCAGTGTCTGTCTGATCTAGTTTGGCCAAATAGAGGTACTTATTTGATCAGTTAGAGCTCAAATAGATAAATATCCTTTCTGAAGTCTTTTAAAGTTGATTAATATCTCTATTAAAAACTGACCATTCTAGTAATAGATTTGCTTACAGTACAGTAAGAAAAGCAGGAATCCTACCACACCAGATTTAGCGTCATTTTGTATTTACTGTACACCAACAAGGTGATGAGTCTGACTCACCCTGCAGCAAAGCAAACCCTTCCAAAAAAATGCAGCGTCAAGGTCTTTCTATGACGTCTGCACAACAACACGCCATCCTGAAATATGGTTCCCAGCTGCTGCACCAAAGGTCAGTCTTCTAGCAGGTCCCATTTTTACTGCTGCACTTCTCAGATGTACAGAAAATCTCCAAGGACATGACAGTGATGAAATATGGCCAGCCTAGTTACTTTTGGCAAGGCGATTAAATCTTCTCATGCAGCGTTCTTGCAGCACCAAGAAGAAAAACATGTATATATATATATATATATATATATATATATATATATATATATATATATATATATATATATATATATATTAGTAAGGGTCGTATGGCTGCACAAGTCCCATACTTAAACACCTGCAAAAAAATGTTGACACCTAAAGGTGCCATATAGTTGTTATCAAAGTCCCTAAAAATCCAGATGAAGATTGCCAGTGCAAATTCTTTTGCATTTCTCCTAAATAAGTTCTCTTCTCCAAAATATTTCTAAAACCTACACTTTCTGGGTTTGCAAAAGTTTTAGACCTTTAGGCTTTTTCAATGTTTACATGTTAGGCAAAACTTTAAGGTTTGTCCTCACCAAAGAAAGTGGGTAGAACCATGGATACTAGAAGGGATAGTCAGCCAAATAGGAAGTCATTCAAGGTTTAAACATCTGCAACCAAATTCAAGAGACTTGAAAGAAAGAACAAAGAAGACATTGTTCCCTCTAGCTTCCAAATCTGAACTTCACCCAACAGTCGTGACCTTTGTAAAAATGCTGAGAGACAAGTCACTTAGGCCCGAATCCCATTTCCCAGAGGTACCCTTGCGCCCACGCCCAATGCCTACATCTCCTGGCACTGAACTCAAGAAGCAGTTAGGGTATTTAACAGTGACAAAGGATACTCCTAAAAGAAGCCACTGCTTCATTAGATATCACTCACTCTTGTTACAAATGTTTCCCAGGCTAAAACAAGAAATTGGACCAATCCCTCATAAATCTTGGGTAATTTTTTTTTAGAGTTTTTGTTTCTTTTCGGACATCTAATATGTTGCAATGAGTTGCCTAAAGAATCAGATCCATGGGAGATTATGCAAATAAGGAAAAATTAAAATTGTACCTTAATCAAGCATATCAAACTAGACATTACACAGGATGTTAGGGTTGGACAGACATTGTAGAAAATGTGTAATGGTTTTAGAAAAGATCAAAAAACATTGAACTCACAAACATGTTTTCATACATCGATGTGCAGAAAGGAAGGCCCGTTGGGATTTGGGATTGCCCAGGGGAACGACAGAATGATAGGAGGATGCTGGAATCAAACTGTATCACAATGGTTTCGGTGCACATGTACCTTTAAATTCTTTGCTCACCGGTAGTGCATCGAGGTGCGTATATTGAAAGCCACAAAGCAGAGATACCCAACCCAAAGAATGAGGAGGTCTCAGAGGTATCGCCATAGAAACGGTTAGGATGAATGACAATAATCTTAGAGAGTCAACAGCAGACACTGGCACGACCATAGGAAGTCAAGACAAAGTTCACTTAATTCTGTTCTTAAAGGAAGTCATGCTTTTATGAAAAAGAGAGTAGAAGATATTAAATAGTGTGCATTAAGTGGTAGTCTGCCCTGCTAAAAGCTATTCTAGGACTCTTAGTTTTTCATTGCCTGATTTGATTTTTGGTGCTCTGTGTATTTATGACAGCAAACTGTGAAATATGTCCAGCGTTTCTTTTTCTATCCTGTGATTCGGTCACTCTGCACACCCCTGGCTGACTGAATTGTCCATAAAAATACACCGCCGTGGCGTTAGCGCCTGTCAAACGCTCATCTTTCTAACCTCGCAGTGGCTCGTTGTATTTTAGCAGGATGAGTTGTGGCCATCCTGCCAACAGTGCACTAAATATTCATTAGGATAATGGAGGAGAGGTGCAGGCTGGAGGGCATGAGTACTCCTCAACAGCAGCAGCAGGAACTTTGCTGCCATAAAAACCCACACAGAACAGGGCGCTGGCATTGTTTAAAAATAACAGCAGCTGGGATTTGAGTGTCTGCATGCACGCAAATGTGTTCTTTTTTTTTTTTCCTCCTTTTAATTAGCACTGGAGAGCGAGCAAATGTGTATGCATGCTACCAGTTTGTGTTAAAAGAGGAGTTATAGTTGTGGTCTAAGCGAAGCTGGGTTTTTTTCAGGCAGAGCAGATGACAATGTCTTTTTTTCCACCTTTCCTCAGGGAGAAATAACAGAGCCCCCAGGTGCGAGTCGCACTCATCGGGGTCTTCTCAAGGCGGTCCTGCTCTACCTGACAGTTCACTGCCCACACTACCCAGCAGGACTGTTTAGGAGTCACACCAGGAGGACAATAAATGTCTCCTTGTGTCAATAAGACCAGCTGTTCCATCTGAGTCACTGCTGGCTCTCAATGCAAACAGGGACTACTTTATTAAACCAAAGAAAAATTTAGCTTTATTGTCCTCAAGCGTCAACACAATGATAAGCCTGGAGGCCAAGAGCTCACTGTGTAGTCTCTAGCATGAATCAAATCCCAAACAAGGCATCAGTAATGTTCCAAAATACAACTTGGCTGCAGCTTTTATGACATCAAACCCTCCTCATCTGGTAGCTTTGTACGGGCACGGACAAATATTTTAACAGAAACGCTTTAAATCTTTTTGACGCTTCAGTTTTCCTGGTGAAAATTCATCACTACTGTGCAACGAGAGTTGATGTGCATAATTTGTTTTTGCAAAGATCTTCAGTGGCTAAAAAATAGAAGAAAGTAATCAGCATAGTAAAATGTTTTCTATAAAACGGGGTAGATGAAATGATAAATGGACTGAACTTATAAAGCGCTTTCCCAGTGACACGGACCACTCAAAGCATTTTGCACTAGAGCCACATTTACACTTTGGCATGGGTTAAGTGCACTACCCAGGGACACATCAACATGTGGCAGGACAAAGCTGGAACCAAACCTAAAATCATTCAATTGTAAGACAACTTCTCTACAAAAACCAGGAAGACAGAACACATCACCGCAGTTCTACCCGGTCGCTCAGAGAAAAGACTTTAAAATACTTTTGTTAGTTTATATGTCACTGAATGGCTCGACCCTCCAGACCATCCAGGTCTTCTGGTTCTAGCTTACTTTGCATCCCTAAAACCAGAAACAAACATGGAGAAGTTTTTATGCTCCTCTATTCAGGAACAAACGTCCAGAAAACTGCAAAACTGCTGAAAAACTGACTTCATTTAAAATAAGCCATTTCCTTAACTGAAAATCTTTAATTTTAGGTTGTTTTCCAACTTTCCATAACTTTAATGTATTTTTCCACTGCAATGTAATGTTTTGGGGGATTTTGGCAAAAAGACATTTCAGTCTTTTGCTAAACAAATAAACTTGACTTGCCTAAATATGAGCAAGAAGCATCTTCTTCAAAAGTGAGCTGAAGATGTTTAAACAACGGCCTTTTGAAAATATGGGCAACAATGAAAATGAAGCAACATCTGTCCAAGATAAACATTAAGAACAGACTGCAACTCAGCAGAAAGAACAAGGATGGACAGTTTGGTGCAATTTTTTTTTTTTTTTCTCAGATGAATCCGCCTTCAGATTGTTTGTGACATCTGGAAAATCATTTGTCCAACAAAGAAAAGCTACCATCAGGTCTTAGTTGTGTTGACAGTGAAGCATCCTGATACAACCCATGTGTGGGGTGGTTTCTAGTTCAAGGAAGGAGGTTTAGTCACAGTTCTGCCCAACAAACACCGCCACGGATAAAGGACTGGGATCAAAGCAGTCAAAAAGCAGATTAATCCAAAACCCATGCACAGTTTGGTGATGATCTGCTTATTTTAATCCATGATGGAGCACAAAGTCCCAAGACGAGCATGTAAAGTGATTCAAAGATCCGACAATAAAATTCTGGACCCAGGCTGAGATGAGTTCTAAACAGCAGGAGGGGGAACCAGAAGCCAAGTTATTGTGATTAAAACCAAGCAGAAGATATAAATCTATCCAAAATTCAGAGGTTTTCTTACCCTGCTAGTGTTTGTTTTTCTTCTGGATTGTTGGAGAATAGCAGCAAACAGCATCCTCAGATTTACTCCCTCAGACTTTTAAAACTTCTCAACAACATTTTTTTTTTGTGTGTTGTTTTTGCTTTTTCCATGACCCAAGCAGTTTGAGTTTGATTTGGCAACCGCACCGCAAAGTGACATGTGGTCAGTTTTTTATGCTGTGCACACATTTATTTCCATCCCTCCTCCACTTTAAACACTCCGACACAAACTAGCAAATGTTTTGACACATTGGCACATGGAAGAGTTGGGGGGAAAATAGACAAACGGGGATGGAGGGAGACGGCAGCATCCCTTGATAGTTGAGCCGCCCCTAAAAATAGCCACACCGGTGGGAGACGCTGTGAGACGAGTTGTTCCACTCAGAAACACAATGCATGGAAAAAATGGAGCGAAAAATGCATCCATTAAGTCCACCGCAAGACTAAACACAGAGAGGAGATGAGATGTTGGTTTTAAAAGTGTTCATTCACCCCCTTTGGACTTTTTCACAATTTTTTTTCACAATAAAACCACAAACTTTAAAGTATAGACTCTGACCAATCCTGTTCAAAGCTCAGTGAGGTTCTTCTCCAGTTTGTGGAATCACTGGCGGATTAGTTTATGTCAGTGGTTGATTATTTCATTATTTATTTTTCTTCTTTTTATTGTTCTTGTTTTGTCTGTTTATGGATCATAATTATGTCTAAATAAAGAGGATTGATTGATTGATTGATTGATTGATTGATTGATTGATTGATTGATTGATATATTTAATTAAGATTTTATGTAGTGTAGATACAGTGTAGTGCATCTTTACGAAATAGCATTAAGCAATTGACTGTGAAATAAATTAAAACAGGCCTGACAATTTCCGTTTTAATATTCTTTTTAAGGGTAATTCTGTTTACAGGTACAACATAATCCATTTTGTTTGCCGTTTCAAATAAAATGTTTTTATTTCCGTTTTATTTATTGTTTTTGGTTGTTTTATTTTGGATATTAAAAATGTCTTCCAGTTCCAATGCTAACCGTTTTTTGTTTTCTTTTACAAGATTTAAGTTTATTGGTCTTTGACCAATTTATTGGATGAATGAACTTGCATTTTTAGTCCATAATCAATATGTTACTTGAAAATGATCTCAAAACGACACATTACTGTCATTTATCTCAACAGTTACAGTGATAATTCATCAACCACCAGATTTTGTTATTGTGACAAGCCTAGACACTTGGTTTCAAATCAGGGTTAGGTTCAAGAGAAACATCTAAGCTTTGAATGTTTGAAAAAGCTCCAATCAGTCCATCATCCTAAAATGGAAAGAGGATGACACAACGGGACAAACCTATAACTTCCCATTTCCTGCAGGATAAAAAACATATTTATGTGCTGAAATGGCCAAGTCAAAGTCCAGTCCTAAAACCAATTGAGAATCTGTGATTTGAATGACTTGAATGTTGACAGACACTCTCCACCCAACCTGACTGAATTTGTGTTATTTTGCTATGAATGACAGACAAAAACATCTCTATATCGATGTATAAAGTTGATACAGGCTAACCACCAAAGGAGGCTCCACAACACAAGTGTCAAACTCAAGGCCTGAAAGCCAAAAACAGCCCGCTAGAAATACACAGATGTTTTGTTGCAATGTGCAAAAATAAGAAAATGTTCAAAGTGTATGAATACTTTTGCAAAGCAGCGTATATGAATTACAGCTTCTTGGAAATGAAGTCCCTTAACAGATAAAAAAAGACAAGGTTAAATGCTTTAAGGGACAAATTTGCCTTCCATTCTGTCCGTATGAACTGAACTGGAGTCAGCGTTGTGGTTGGTACATGCAGCCAGGAATCTATCCATCCAGACATTTCATGTCATGATGTCTTGGAGTAAATGTTTGAAATATGACAGGTTTGAACTCACCGTTCCAGTGAGTAGTCAGCGGTGAAACTGCCAACTTTATCTTCTGAGTTCTGTCCTATTTACACCACACACCGCACCTAAAGAGAAGAGAGAAGACAATATTTAAAATATGTTCAGTTCTTTTAGTAATACAAAACAACCACATAAGGAACAAAGCAGAATAAAACCTTATTTTTGACATTTTGTTCTGGGAATCCATGAAAAAAAAAAAAATCAACCTGGAACAGAACAAATCAGGAACACAATTCTCTTCAGGCAGCCAGTAAGACGCCACAGATCACCGCAGTGTTGTGCGAAGGAACCCCGCTGACCCTGCCGCAAGTAGCATGACCGACCAGCAGCAACATCACAACGCGACGGCGCTAAGAAAGACTGACAGCAGGAAGCCAAGATATCTGAGGGGTGTGGGAAAGGGAAGCAGATGCTGCCCTATTGTCCGCTCACATCAGTAATGTGACTCCATTGTCACGGGAAAAGCAACACGGGAGCGTCTTGGCAACAAGGATGAGGAGGTGACACTGGCAAGGTTTAGCAAGGTCTTGGATGAGTGGCAGGTTTCGAAACAAATTACGATCAAGAAACACATCCCTCACTGCCAACGTAACCAGTCCTGCAGTGACAAACAGTGAAAAGAGCAGAACACTGAGGTCCAGCCAACAGACTCGCATTTCTGGTACTGAGAAGCAAATTCCATGTGAGGCAAAACTAATTATTGCACCACAAAAACTTCAGTTGGTTGGTTTACGAGTACAGCTTTTAAGTAGAGTCCATGTTTCCACAGGACAGAGGTCAACAAGTGGTTCAGTCAGTTTTCATGTTCGTTTGGGATCGTTGTACAGCTGGATCTCCCATCTGTGTCCGGTTTTCAAACATCTACCTCAATATTTAAATTCCAAGAGCCACTTTTGCTCCCGGTGCTACAAAATAAAATGTGTCTAGACCCGCAAAATAAGACAGATTTTATTAGTATGTACCAGAGACGTTCACCAGTCTTTTGATCTCAACTCTTTGATCTCAAGTCCAAGTCAAGACTCAAATATTTGAGTGACGTATCTATACTGGAATGCTTGGTGAATTTTCTAACTGAGCATTTATGTATATTATTTATTGCAATAAGTTTTTAATGATAATTTTGATTTATTATTGTCTCTATAAACTCCAATTAGTGATGGCGAAAAAGTCATCAAAACTGTCTGAATTCTTATTTTTTACAATTTTCTCCATTGCTTGTTCAATCAGGGTGTTAATGCATTTGAAATGTTGTCACTTTTTTATTTGACAAAAAAGAACATTTATGATTGTTGTGCCATGCAGTCACAGGGTTACGGTTAAGTAAAAAAGCAGTCATAAATAATTCTGTCACTTTTATTATTGGAATAGTACAGCTAAATATTGTGATAAAACTTCAGGTTCATAACGCCAAATTTTTCCAACTGGAATAACAATTTCAACTTCTGACTGTAAGGTAAGGTAATTTTATTTATGTAGCACATTTTCAGCAACAAGGCAATTCAAAATGCTTCACATGAATTAAAAGGAAAACAAAATAAGAAACCAAAGGGAAGAGCAAAAGAAGAAAAAGAATCTAATAATGTTGATCCAAAGTAAATAAGCTAGATACTCCTGTTCAGGGTTGTTATAAGTACAAGTATCCACCCTCTGGTCTAAACACTGTAATGTTCTAACATGTGACATTCATCTAACGATGAGTATCTAAAACACCTGCCTGGTTCCTCCAGCAGGAGAATTCAACTGAGCACCATGAAAATCCAGATCTGTCTCAACATCCCGTCCGAAAAGAAAGTAACTTCCCTTCTTAATTTACTGCCTTCTACTCAACCTTCTAGGGTTACCATGAAGTGAATGACTAGGGAACCATTCAGATATGTTCTACTCAAGAAACATGGCAAAAATTCAGACTCTGAAACGCTTTTCTATATCAATCCGATCAGACATTAATGGCATTCTGCACATCCTGCAGAAACCCTCAGAAGTCCTATCCCTCAATCCTCACTGCCCACAGGATCCGTTGCCAACAACCCATCTGCAGAAACCACGGGACACGGTATGCCTCGCTGGTTCAGGGTTATGACAGAAATATATACAATTTTAGCCATGAGATTTTAATGCTGCTGCTGATTGTTGAATCGGAGATAATGGAACCGGATAATGTAAAAAAAAAAAAAAAAAAAAAAAGAGTTCATTAAACAAACTCTTAAAGACAGTGTGTGCATTAAAAAGAAAACACCTTGTGGACTCAGGACATATGGTATCATCATGGACAGATGGGCGACTTGGTGGGATGGAGAAAGAAAGAAAAAACTCCCTCTACTCCTTCCTTCAACATCTTAGGTGAATATTCGCTTCATTTATATTCTATCCATCCACCAAGGTGCTTTACATGTCTCTGAGCTGCCAAGAGGACTTCTTGAACTGGAGCAACCTTTCTTCAGAATGCTTAAAAACAAAGTAACACCTTTTTAGTACTTATGCCTACACCTGGCTTGGTTGCACACACTATATCCACAAAAACAACCTAAAATGACAAATATTCCAAGTTCGAATATGCAAAATAAAGCACAAGAAAACAGGCAATGTCATAACCAGAACCCTCTGTGTACAGCATTTCCTTTTTGTTTTGTTTGTAGGGTCTTCTCGAAGATAAAGGGAGTGTAAAGCGATGGGGAGGAGGAATGTGAATGTACATGTACTTATTAATTGTGGATTCTGGTACTGGTACCGTTTTGAATTTTAGACCCACTTCAAAAAGCAAAAGCAACTTAAAACAGCCCCTCCATGGCCCAAATTCATACCCCCCATTTATTCAGTAAGTCCTTGTGGATAAAATGTAAAATCATGGTGTATTTTGGCAAATCAAAGATAAAGTATGCCAAATTAATAGAAGTTAAACATTACCAGAATTACAAAACTGAAGGAATCAAAAAAGTCTGGAAAATAAGATTTCTCCATTCTGTATTTTTGTCCATATTTACCCACACAAGAAAACAATAACATCCACTTTTCCAGACTGAGTAGAAACCCTGAGATTAATTATCACCATGGCTCATTATTAATATTTCTTTGTCTTTTTATAACAACCTGTCAATTTTTGACATACCAGTAGTAAAATCTGAAATGCACCCTTTGGTTTTAACTACAAAGGGTGTAGTTAAAATCCGTGTTAACTTATGGCCCCCTCAGTAAGGGTAGGTTGTTACTCATTCTGTAAGAGGCATTTTATGTTTTAAGAAGTACAAAGAATTATAGTGTTTGGCATTCAGGTTTGTATCTTTTTCTTAACGTACCCAAATCAAATCCTCATCCAAAACCAAGGCACCTACTACCAGTCCGGTTTATTACGCTTTAATTGAACTCCAGTTTGTTTGTCTGGAAAGTCTGGTTCACTTGAGGAGCGGTGAATGCAACGTTGAACTCTGGTCAGCCTGAAACCTAGGCTTTAGTTTGGTTGAACTAGTGAACTCTACCACGTCCCAAATGCGTATGTGGACGCAAGTGAACCGCAGAGGAAGGGGACAACAATGCAGGACATTCTGGGTAAAATACAACCAAAACTAACCCTCGTGTCTAGCAGTAGAGGGATAAATAGCTTGTGGTGTTTTACCAAAGACTAAAAATAAATCCTACAACTACTAAAATCTGACACTTGTCCATTTTGTTTACTTTTTTGTGAAAAAGGAAGTTGCGCTTGGTGTCTTCTTCTGAGGTTTTTGTGTCGTTTCTTTTAGTGGTTCTTGGTGCAGCGCCACCACAAGCAAGGGGTGAACAGGTTTTTCAAGGGGCTCAGATTCTTTGACACAATGCAGTGTGAAAGCAAACAGCACCAGCTGAGCAAATGTTGTAATTTTGGTTCCCAATCGAAGCAAATCTACTGGACTATGAGGTGTGAAAACACCCTACGGGTGAAGAAAGATCAACAGCTTTGGATTAAACCGTGTCATCCGTGTCCTCCATGTACAAAAGCTTTGGCTGATTTATGTGAAATCCAAATAAAATCTGTTACATAAGTCAGCTGTGAGTTGCTATGAGTCACCTAGTTATTCCTCCCTCTTGTGTCTTTATAACCAAGCAATGGAAGAGAGGTGGAGGACACGCTTCACGAGCGCACGCACTGCCTCGTCTCTGAGGACACAAGCTTGGCCTACAACTAATTTAACTGTGGTGAAGGCATGAGTGTGAGTCTAAGAGCATCCAACCACTGCTACTGCATCCTGTGGGAGCTCTTCCCAACAAATACCAAAAACACAGGCGAAGGAAACAAGTCTCAGTGAGACCCCGACTTCACCTTTACATTCTGCTCAAGCGGCAGCAGCAGAAACATTGCAGTTTGTGGTTTAATCCTGACAGTTGCTTTCACAGTGATGACAGGTCTCCAACAAACACCTCTCCCTGGAATCAGCGCCTCAATCAGGTTTTTTTTTTTTTTTTTTTTTTCCACAGACTCGACATTCTCACTGACTGCTGCTGCAGTTTCCACATGAGCAACCAAACACTGCGGCAGACGTCAATCGCAGTGAATAAAAGAAAACAAGGAGCAAGCAAATTACTGTTAATGAATCACGAATTTCTGAATACATGTCACCCCTCATATGCATTCTCAATCTAAGAGAAAAAGCTAAATATTTTTAAAGTGCTGACTGATCCTAATGGAGCCTGCCCTGAGCTAATCCAAACTTTCAACACAGTGCAATTAACCCCGTTTCAACAGTGAGGAAAAGGTCATTTGCATTTTTACATCACATTTGCTTCAGGCTAGAAATCCAAAACAGTTTTCAGAGCCTGTTATTTAGTAATGTTCACTTAGTTAATGAAACATCTTCCAACCAAAAAGGAAAGGGGGCTGCAAAAGATGTGTAGCACAATGCTGCATAAAAACAACAGCGTTCTCATGTCATTATCGCACAAATTCAACACATTGCAAAACTAGTAAACACAAAACTAATACATGTGATTTCTTGGTTTACTACTTTTCAGAAATTTACAAACATCTCAAAAACTTTTTTTCCACACTGTCAGAAATGTGCAGAAAATGTCAAGGAAAGAGAATAAGTGAATGCAA